GTGTGTGCCAAAAAAATGATCTATTGAGCTTACACTGAGCTTACACTGTATATTGTTGTAAATATGGCATCAATTTGAAAGCAGCATTAATAATTGTAGTTTAATATTGTTTCTTGACTTGCTAATGCGATTTAAAAAGGAAAGAAGCGAAAACTGCCTCTTAAAGTGTAACCAAACAGACAATTTTACTTGTCAAGGGAAAGTGATGGTCATTTCATGGGTTAGCAAATCTAACTGTTCATGAATGACTAAATGTTAACTAACTACTGCACCTGAATGCATTCTTCCCTCTAATGCCAGATGATTTTACTTTTGAAGGGGATAGTGTTGATCAATTTGAATTTCTGATTCTAAAACTTTGTACAAGGTATGGTATATCTATTGCCCTCATGTATACACTGTATAAAGTAAACAACATGTTTTACTCATCGAGGGTTGCATACCAATGAGTTAACCAAACTAACTAATGGTTAACCACTTGGTGTCTTGTTAATAGTCCTTGTACTCTATCATTTTACTTTGTCCAACACCAGAATATTTGGTTTGTCGAGGGGAGAATGCTAATAAAAATTTATGGACATATATTTACTAACTTTTAAATGGTTTTATTGTCTTGATACCAGGTAGAACAGAAATGCCACCATTGCCTCTTCCACGACCTCTGCTAGCTTGTCCATTTCCCCTGGTAGCATCGTACTGTCCTCTTCCGCGTGCACCACCACGTTGCCCCCTTCCACCATCTTGTCCCCTACCTCTGATTCCAGTTTGTCCATTGCCCCTTGCCCCACCTCTACCTCTTGCCCCAACCTGACCTCTACCCCTTGGAGCATCCTGTCCCAAACCTTGTGAACCTTCTGGCACCCATCCTCTGCCTCTGGTACTACCAAACTGACCTCTGCCCCTGTTCCCACCATCGGACCGCCCTCGTCCTCTATTAACACCGTCTCCCCTACCTCTATTTCCACCTTCAAACTTGCCTCTTCCCCTGTTACCACCATAACCTTGCCCTCTTCCTTTATCAAACTGCCCTCCACTCACGTTCTCTCCACTAACATACCCTCTTCCTCTGCTACCACCCCTACCTCTGTTCTCGCCACCAAACTGACCCCTGTTTCCACCATCAAATTGCCCTCTACCTCTATTACCACTCTCAAATTGTCCTCTACCCCTACCTCTGTTTCCTCTGCCACTGGCACCACCTCCACTACCCATATTATCACCTTCAATCTGTCCTTCACCACCATACTGCCCTCTACCTCTACCCCTCCCTGCACCTCTACCACCCCTACTGTATCCATCTGTCCCATCAAATCCACCACGACCCTGTTGAATTCCACCACGTCCCCGATAACCCCCAGTCCCACCACTATTGTTGGCAAACCCGTAGCTTGGAGGGACACTATCTTGTTGGTAGTTGCTTTGTGTTGAATATTCATTATATCCCATTTGAGTATTGTACCCATTATCCATACCATACTGTTGGGTATTTCCACCATAATTATCATAGCCTTGCCAGTTAGATTCTTGTGGTGGTGATGAAAACTGTCCAGGAACAATCCCTGCCGGTTTCACAGGTTCACCAATGGCCCCATATGACCCTGTGCTGTGGTATGTAGGTGCAGGTTGGTCATAACCAGAATTAAAGGTAGCATAATGACCACCATATGTGTTATCATTGCCATAACTGCTAGGCATTGGTGGGTGGGGTGGTTGGTAAGCACCATATCCACTGTCTTGACCATAACCATAATTTGGGTTTGCGGCACCATACACTAAAACAAAATTTTAACATAAAATTGAAATATTTATAGCTATTCAATGATTTCTTTTTAAGACAAAACCAGTACTGGAAAATGTCCGGCAGCGCCAGCAGCACCGCTGCCAGGAAATTCCTGTCATCTTATAAACTGAAATGCCATATAATTTACTTATTGTTTAAAAAGTCCAAAAGCATTTTGCAGGTCGAGACTGTCTTGTACTGAGATCAAAGTTTATCTCATGTGCGCAGGCCTGAATATAATTTTTTTGTGTCCTGCCTGTCACAATGACCAGCATCAATGAAATTGTGCCTGTCACAAAATAAAATGTATAGGTCACCAAAACAAGCATCGGTATATTTGGTTCCATACTAATTACTAAAATAATAGTGACTAATAGTAAATAGGACACGCAAAAGTCATATGTAGGCATGTAGCTAGACTAGCTAGTGCTGCAGTTGAAGAAATTAATAAGTGCTAATACTGGGAGCATTTATTTATTTATTTATATTAAATTTTATAGAAAGTTTAGAAACAAATAATTGAACTCAAGTGGTCAAGTTAGTGAATGAGGTCACGAAATCAATAAATCATGTCTATCTCTACAAAAATGAATAAGTCCAAATGCTCAAATAATAACTATGACTATACTTTAGTTTGTTACAATGGCGCCACGCTTCATCGCCACTCGCATTCTGGACTCGATATCGCGAGTTTCTCGCGAGAAACTCGCAACACCAATGCGTGCTATTTATGCAATCTTTCGATTCTTTGCGAAATAATTATTTTAGTCAATCTCATGTGTCAACATGCACAATTGCTCTCAAAAAGTTAAAAGACGATCGGTTTAAGGTTCCTTGTCCCAAAATGGACAATGATTTTTGCCGAACCATGTACCGGACAAAGTGACCGACGCAATCGAAATAGTACCTGTCAAAACGGTTGAAATTTCGGATTTGTACCGGACAATGTCTGTGACCGGCCGCTAATATTCAGGCCTGCTGATGTGCGACACCATCCGTTCTCTGCAATTTACGATGCAGGAAGTCTTATAATTGACTTACGCAGGAAATTTTTATTTTTGGATTTTGCTGCCAGGAAGACAAATATATTTTCTAGGCCTTTTAAAAATTACCCTGTGGTTCTGGTTTCCAGGCTGACCCTTGTTTATCTGGCAACCCCAATGCCAGGGTTCATACACGTTAGGAAGAGTAATTAAAATTCGAGGACTTTCAAGGCCATGTATCAGGAATTCAAGAACTAAAGGGCTGGAATAATTAAAAAGTGAAATACATCCCATTTGGGTATCATACACATTATCCGTATCATAACGCGGATAATCAACAGCTTCGTAAATTGCGGATAATCAACAGCTTAGTTTGTAAATATCAACAGGCTTGTAAATTGTAAATTGTAAATTGTAAGATGTAAACAAAATCAATTCAAGAAAAACCTGTTTTTCAAAGCGAAACAATTTCAGAAAATATTAAAAAAACTGAAGCATGTATCATTTAAGGATTTTTAAACCTTCTTTATACCAGTAAATTCATTGACAAGTACTTTCAATGCCTTGAACTTTTGTTTTCAAATTCAATGACTTTCAAGTTTTGCACGAACTCAGTCATGTTTTTTTGGATGAGTAGTTTGCATACCTACCCACCTTGTTTTTGTTGTTCCTCACTTTATGAAACAATTGTGTTATTGCTCACAATAGCCAGTTCCCCTTATTGCATATTCTGAATACAACCACCAGCATGCTTTTCGGACATGTTATTGCATAATGAAGAAAATACCCGCAAATTGTCATGGCAGTTGTATTCAGAACACGTAATAAGGGGGTTCGGCTATGATTGCTTCTTGAAAGGTTTTGTGTTGTGGTAATGGCTAATGCCAACCGATAACACTCATTCCAATTGTTGAACAATGTCAAGCAAAAAAAAAAATCCGAAAAAAATTATTTTCCAAACCCACCAACACTATTTTTTTGGGATATGACCACAGGATATTTTTGTTAGTCCTTATATGATTTACCAGATTGTACATCATCTTTAATTCAAAATACTGAGTCACCAATCATGCCACAGTTTCTTAATAGTGTGTCTAATAATGGCAGGCCTAATAATTCAGGTTAGCTATCAACAAATGATTAGCGTGAGGCGGTTTCTCCAAAAACCGACAAAAAAAAAAACGAACAAAGCGAGTGAACAAGTTTTTTTATAAAAATACTTTGGAAAATTGAAACCACAGTAAAAAAAGACACAACACGCTACTCAGTACTCACACAAGAATTAAACGTAAGATACCGGTATTTTGAAGATGTTATCAAATTTCAAACAAAAAATCTCTTTAGTTTTTCATGTGTAAATGCCAATTTAAACACATGAAAATTCTCCGGCGCACAGCTCTAGCTTATCAAAAAGCTTGATTTATCACATGCCTCAGTCAATTAGGCTGAAATGCAAAGTGTATTTAATGTTATGTAATTTAAATAAACTGTTTGCTTGGCATTTCATTCCATGTCAGTGACAGTCAGTCACTTACTATAAGAAGATTTATTGCAAACTTGTTGAAAAAACTATACGTAATCAGTTGCAGCATTGGAGAAATTAGTTACAGGTCTTGCAATAATGAAATGCTCGGTGCATTCAGAACAAAAAAATGATCGCATGTTGCTGCATGTCTCCCAATCGAGGAGTGTGATTCATCACACTTCTACCCTTCTTCGATGGCCTGGTTAATCAGACTATCTGCTAATGCATCCTGTTATTTAACAATTATTCGCCGAAGGCGAAGTGATTACCGGTGAATATTCACCGAGACAAAGTCGAGGTGAATATTCACCGTAATCACTGAGCCTGAGGCGAATAATTGTTTTAGTATAAATTTTTAACGAATAAAATAAAATATCCGAATATCAGTTCAATTAAATTTCAGAAATAGAATTGTTTTCGGCCTTTTCACTAATAGTGTTGCAGTGTTTCTTGTACGCACACGCTTTCAAAATGGCTTCTTGTGTGACTATTGCTTTATTACAAAGTTGTTTTTCCCGATTTCTGCTTGGAATATAAACACAATAACGGAATGACTCTTTCAAAATTAAAAATAGTTTCTGTTTAGCATTAATTTCTTCAGGAAATGGCTGAGGAATTTGGTAAATTGAAATGTAAAACTATATCGTTCGAAATAAAGTTTAATAACACTTTTTACTTTATAACAAGTTTCGAAAACACAGTACAGCGGTCAGGACACCTTACAGCACAATGAAAACATGACATATTAAAAGAAATAGTGTCGTACAAATTGGGAAATTCATTGTAGGATACAAAACAAAATTTTTTAAAAAGAATATCGCGGCTTTTCCCAACAGTCGGGATAGTTTTTGCTATTTGTTTGAAGCGAATGTTTCGGAGTTTTAAATAAGTTTTAAATTGTCCATGAATATGTTTGACACAGTAAAATAATAAAGAAATCTTACCTTTCAAGTTAAATTCAACATTTTGTGCTTTTTTCGTTTTCTGGGACGATTTTTTCAATATTTTGTCGATTTTGAAACCAAATTTGCTGAATCATTCTTTTTGAAAAGCATTATTTACTAGTCTGCTAGTAAATAATGCCTCAGATTTACTAGTCAACTAGCCAATCAGAATGCGCAAAAGCTCATTTGATATGCAAAATTTATACTAAACTTTATTATTTTACAATGTCTAACATTGAATGCAATTTCACTCGTCAAGGGGAGAATGCTGCCACTTAATAGGTTTTTAATCGATGCTGCCAATGCATATTGTTTAACCGTTTAATAAGAACCTTTAATATTGTTAACAATTTAATTATCAGGCTGTTAGCGTTCTATCAACTGTGTGACAGATCCTGACTGAAAAGTTTAGAAATTGTGTTGCCAGAGATTTCGAAAATTTAACAGTAAATATATAGAAAACATAAAAATTGTATGGCCGATATCTCCACCACGCGATACAAACTTTCCACACTGATAACAGATAATGCATCTTCCTGACAGAAGATCCATGTCATCCATCAGGCCAACGGCAAAAACATACCATTTTCAAAACTGGGTCAAACACTTACTTCACTGCCAAACTATGAAATTTCCACTGGTTATCAGATTTTTGGTACTTTCCAGACTACTCTATCGGAGCAATGTAAGTACTTTCCGGCAAGTGTTCTGATAGTATTAATGTTTTAAATATTCAGTATGTTTATCCAATGGTTGAATGCTTGGTCTGCTTGGATATGGTAAAATTTCCCTCATTTTATATATTTTGGATATTGATTGTAACAAGCTTACTATCCATTGGGGAACTAAACAAACTTCTCTCCGCAATAGAACTTCACTGCGTTTTTATATATTTTGTCATTTGTGTTTTTGCGAAACGTTCTTCTCCAAGCGGTGATGCGGATTTTACATTCTATTTTATTAAAGTATTTAAAGGGGTTAATACTCAATGCCTTTTACAAAAATAAAACTATATTTACCTGTGTTTTGCTGTGCCATGTTGTTCGCTTGTTAATATAAACTTTAAAACTCTTTGAAACTTTTTAAAATGACTAAAATTTGAGCTACTTGCTTTCCATGGTCTGAGAAGATTCAAAATGGAGGTTAAAGCATACATTGAGCAAGCGCTCATAACGTACAGCGGCAGTGGTTGCAGCTGACGGTAAGTACTTCATGTAAGGTCACAAAACAGTTTGGGCAAATTTTAATTATATATGTCAGGATCATAAAAGTTAGTCATATAGATATAAGTCATATAACCTGGTTCACAATAATAAAGTGAGTGTTTATCCCAATGGTCAATTCACAGTCACACCTGTCACCTTTGGATAAACTCACATGCCCATCAAATATTGTTCCATAATACCCAAGCATAGATGAAAACAAAAGCTTACTTTTGTTCTATTCCAATATTCCATGACAGAGTAAAATAACTAACTGTGGGGCGCTTTAATGCTTTAATGAAATACTCCTGAAACAGTATTATACTACACTAGGAGGAGTTATATATGCTGAAAAACTAGAAAATATTTATATTTATTTACAAGAAATTAGTCTTCATAATCACTGTATGACACATATATTAGGCGGTGATTATAGAATGATGTTGTTATATGTGATTACTAGTTTACCCACAGGGTAGTGAATGCTGCCTTGGTATAGCATTGTTCCCAAATCTTTAAACGAGATTTTTTGTATGTTACGTAACACGCGCTCAAAACTAATGCGTATGATAAAGCACATGAGATTATGACTAAAATCAAAATTTTTATTTTGCGATACGTTTCTCAATCGGTAAAAAAAACTTTAAAAGTATGTTTAGTGCTTTATCTTTTTAAAATAATGCTAAAATGAAGAGATTTTAGATGATACGCCAAAGAGAAAATGATGTCTGAAGTTCAGTACGTTTTGCTTAAATGGCTGTAAATATAGCGTCAATTTTAAGGCAACATTGATAATTGTATTTTAATTGGCAATTTTTAACTATTATTTTAGGTTTCTCAACCGGCAGACGCATTTAAAAAGGTAGCTAACTCTATAAACAGTAGAGAATAAAGCTAAAACAAAGTAATTTTGAGAGGAACGCCAAAAAGATTTTAGGTTTTGAACACTTTTCATTGCAAATACGTGACATTGAAAAAAAATTGCCTCTTAATTAATATTTTAAAGAATACGAGTAAGAAATATTCGTAATGAATTGGAATCATCCATAATTTATACACTTGAATGTGCCGTATGATAACTCGGCGCTCGAAGTTTCGTATCGAAAGAGCCTTCAAAGAGGAAAGCCGAACAGGTATGATGGCTAACAAGAATGAGTGTACTTATCAATTTATCTAAACGCGAGGAAAAAATCAAAATGGCAAGTATGGCTGTGACATCTAGTATATAAAATTGTATAGACAATTTGCCCACAAATACGGTGCTAGGTCAAAACGGCCCAAAGTCAAAACGACCCAAAGTCAAAACGGCTCCGCTTCAATAAGCATATGATTTAGACCAGGGGTTAAATGCAGGTGACATTTAACATGTGCGAGTGTGCGTCTCACTAAATTTTCGTGTTTAATAATGTTTTTTTTTGGTTTTTTTTTTTTTAATTTTCGCCCAAAATATAACATTTAACAACATACATTATTTACAAATTTTTTTAGAGCTAGGAACCTACTAGAAACCAAAAGGCTTTTTTTTTAAGGTCCCTAGATACAAATTCAAATTAAATAACTATAACATGCATATATAAGGTGCCAGTTCGAGTGTTTTTCATTGTAGTAAGGATAGGGAAAAAAAAGGAGAATAGTAACAAGTACTAAGATTTTTTTTTTCTGTGTTGGTGTACTTTCTGTATATCAAGTACTAAGATATAATGATAAGCTATGTTTCAAAAATTTTACAATAGAAATGGAGAAAAATAAGTATGTTAACAAAGAATATTATAGTATGCTAAACACCGTTTAAGCTAAACGCCTTTGATACAACCGGCCGAAAAGGATGTTAATTTGTTGTTTTTAAATGCAGATAGAAATTTTTCATTGTTTTCTTGAAAGACCCATACGATCTATTTTCTTTATATTTCGAAGGAAGATTATTCCATATATCAATTCCCTTATTAGTTAGAGTTTGTTTTGTATAATTTGTTCTGCTACACTTTTTGTGTAATAATGATGAGTTTCGTGTATTGTAGTTATGGATTTCCTTATTGGTAGAAAAATAATTTGTGAATGTTTCTGGTAAATTTTGAAGATTGAAATACCTGAACATAAAAATACTTGTTAAATAATCATTTATTTTGTATATGTTAAGTATTTGCAATTCTAAAAAAATGGGTTCAGTGTGGTTAGTATAATTCTTAAAAGTCATTAATCTTACAATTTTTTTTTGAATGTTTATTAACTTTGAAATACGAGATTTGTACGTATTACCCCAAATGAGGTTACCATAGATTAGATATGGATAGACCAATGCGTAGTAAATGAGTTTTAGAGAATTTAAGTTTGTAAAATGCCGAATTCTGGAAATAATAGCTGCACATCTGATCATTTTCTTTGCTATTAAATCTAGATGATAACACCATGTTAAAAATTCATGAATAACAATTCCCAAAAATGTGATACTCTTGGCTTGTTTTATGGCCTCATTATTTAAAGAAATTTTAACATTGTGTTTAGATTTTTTATTTTTTGATCTAAAAAGAACAAATTTGGTTTTTGTAATGTTGATAGAACGTTTGTTGACACTTAGCCAGTCAGAAATTTTGTTAATTTCAATTTGAATAATTTCATTTAAAGTTTTAAGACAAGAGTGACTATAAAGTATATTTGTGTCATCCGCGAATAATATAATTGAAATTAGTTCACTGCAACTTTGTATATCATTTATATATAAAAGAAATAATAAAGGACCTAATACTGACCCCTGAGGAACCCCACTTTTGACAGTCATTTCGTCAGACTGTATCCCATTATATTTTACAATTTGTTTTCTATTCTGTAAATAATTTTCGAACCAATTTTTGGCTATACTCCTCTTATACCATAATGTTCTAGTTTGCTCATCAGAATCTTGTGATTAATCGTATCAAAGGCCTTAGATAAATCAAGGAAAATACCAATTGTGAATTTACCTTCATCAATTGCTTTAGTTATTAGTTTATCAAAGAAGGCAAAAATATATACAAGACAACCTCACATGTGGAATCTGTTCACTTACGCACTGCGTTGTGATGCAGTACAAGTACAAATACAAATGGCAAAGCATTTTTAAAGGCTTGAAATCCTAAAAGCCCTAAAACATAATTAAATCATACGGCACATTCAAGATTTTAATATCGTATTTCAGCCGCGTTTATACTGCTTGGCGCGCATTTGCTGCGTTATATTAATTTATATACTTATGTAATATACACAGATTTATTACTAATAAATCAACACTATATGATAATATATAAGAACTCACAAAGTGCAGTCACCTTTTTATAAATAAACCTTTTTAAAAGCATGTCATTGCCATTGCAGACCAGAGGCAAAAAGCACAGCCACATAGGCCTACGGCCTACCAGATTTATTAAGCAATCGTGAGATTATATACATGAAAGAATATGGAAATTATGTTAAAATGGAAATTATGTTAAAAGCACCCCGTATAATGACGAAAGCACCGCGTATAATGCTCGAACCACTGCGTATAATGGCGAACAAAGCACCGCGTATAATGCTCGAACCACTGCGTATAATGGCGAACGCACCGCGTATAATGGCGAAAGCATCACGTATAATGCTCGAACCACTGCGTATAATAGCGAACACCGCGTATAATGGCGAAAGCATCACGTATAATGCTCGAACCACTGCGTATAAGGAGCGAAACCACCGCGTATAACGCTCGAACCACTGCGTATCGACAAAATGCCGTTTGATCACTTACGCCAGCTATGGCTTTCCATAAAAGAAGCGAAACCACCGCGTATAACGCTCGAACCACTGCGTATCGACAAAATGCCGTTTGATCACTTACGCCAGCTATGGCTTTCCATAAAAGAAAACCAAAGATGAACACATTGCTTGTTTGCCGCCTGTTTATTAGGCAAGAATAACCTGCCGGCCCGGGAGCAGTGCATTGTGGTAGGCCGAAATACGCCGAAACGATCGAGATTTCATCTGCCTTATATATATATACATATACATAAAGATTAGGACTGCTGCCTCGCTCGCTCGCTACGGCAGCAATTACTGTTGGCGCATCAGATTCAGAGCAAAGCCAAAGCAATTAAAAGGGTAATTTGGAAAAACCCTTAAATTAATAAGCTTAGTGTTAGTCAAATTTGTCTATATGCATGGCAATGTTCAAGCTATTGAATTTGGGATGTCCTCTTCGAAATTCTGTTAAATTATTTGAATATTCTTTGACCTGTCCAAAAGCTCTTTGTCGTTTGACCCCTAGTGACGTTTTATTCACTTTGATGCTATTAAAATCAGTTCATGCGTATAGTAGCACTTCCGCATTTTAATATTTCACATTATAAACTTCTGTGTCTTGTGCTTCTACTGCAGTGACAGAGTATTTTAATCTTCAATCTCAGCTCAATTAGATTATGGCTTCAAAATATCACGACGATTGGCAATCTAGTAAGAAAACAGTCTTACAAAGAAACGCGTATATGTTTGATAACGAATTGATGAGCGATGTATCTTTCACGTGTGGGAAATCAAGTCGCATATTTCATGCTCACAAATATGTGCTTGCTACGAGCAGTGCTGTATTTTATGCCATGTTTTATGGCGACTTGGCACAGAAAGAATCCACTATTCGTATTACGGACGCAGAAGAGGAAAGCTTCGAAGAGTTTTTACGATTTCTGTACACTGATAATTGTAAAATTACCGCTGAGAGCGCGATAGGAGTTATGTATTTGGCTAAGAAGTATCTTATTTCGCCTTTGGCGGAGAAATGTTGCAAGGTTCTAGAGGCAAGCATTAAACCTGATAACGTTTTCGTGGTGTTGGAACAAGCGATACATTTTGATGAAAAAATGTTAGAAGCCAAATGCTGGAATATTGTTTCTGTGGAAACTCTCGAATGCATTAACTCGGAAGCATTCTGTAATATCGGATCGCATACCCTGAACGCTTTGTTAAAGAATGAAATGCTGGAAATTACAGAAGTCCATTTGTTTACAGCAGTGCTAAAATGGGTCGATAACGAATGTGCAAGACAGGGTACAAATGTTGAAGATGATATTGGGGCAAGAAGACGCGTCCTGGGGGATAATGTGTATGAAATTCGTTTTCTTGAATTCTCACAGGAAGACTTTGCAAAGTATGTCCCTCCAATCGGAATACTTACAGAGACAGAGATCATCTCTATATTTCGGGCATTTAACGGAGTTGATGTGGCTGGCTTGAAATGGAAGGATCAAGGGAAAAGGAGACCGCGTACAATTGGTTTCAGCAGATTCGAGCTTGCTGGTGTCACTGGTTCGTGGGGTTACAGTGGAAATAAGGATGCTCTTACACTTGTTGTCAATAAAGCTGTTCGTTTTCACGGTGTTCGATTGTTTGGTAACGCTGATGGTAGCCAATACGAAGTCAAATTTACAATCAAAGACAAAGATAATGTAACAGGGACCAATACTTCAGAACAAGACAATGACGGTCTGTGGGGATATGATGTCATGTTACCTAAACCAATTTCTCTACTGCCAAACGAAGAATTCACAATAATTGCGGCAATAAAAGGACCAAATTCTCACAGTGGTACCAATGGAAAAACAACAGTGAAAGTCGATGACATTGTTGTAACATTTAAAGACGCACCTTCAGGTTTAAGTCCAAATGGTACAAGCACAATAAGTGGTCAATTTTACAAACTTTTTCTGTCTTCAGTGTAGAAACAGAATATTTCTCACTTGATCTGAATTGGCTAATATTGTAATGGCATAAATGGACGACTATCATTTGTCATAAACAAATGCATCTAGGGTATTGGAAAATTGTTTAGTGAAAAATCAACCAATCAGAGAGACTGTATCTTTGTTCTCAGAGACAGAGGTATCGGACTTAACTTTAAAAGGCTAGGCCATTTATGATATGTAAAACCGATTCACTGTAAATTCACATATCAGTTAGAATTTATTACCTAATAAACTGACTAAATACAAAAGTATCAAAACGTGCCACAGTCCATTGTATTTTATTTCTCAAACTGTCTGTACCAGGTAGGTAGGTAGGTAGGTAGGTAGGTAATACTTTATTTAAAATTAACAGAAAGAAGAATACGCTAGCCCCATCAACTCTAGGCTGGTTTCCATGGGGGGCGTGTTTAGATCTTAAAAATCGTTAAAAGGAAAATTTAAACTAAATATTAGTACACACATACTGTACACGTTACTATATACAAATAATTAGGAAGCATGCCGCTGTCCAACAATTGATTTAAACGAATGAGGCGACTCGGTCAATTTTGCTTCGTTTGGGAGTTGATTCCAGAGCATAGCGCCGCTATATTTAAAACTTTTTTTAAGAAATTCTCGTTTCGGTTTAGGAATTGTTAGATCAGTTGCTGTGTTTCGAAGATGATAATTAGTTTGATCTACAGGGTGTATAAAAAAAAAGGAGACCTTTAGAAATCAAGCATATTGTTAAAATTTGAATGCCTTTTCAATTGCACTGACATATGCATGCTGAAACGTAGTGCGTGAACTATTGATGGGGTGCATATATTAGAAAAAGGAGACCTTTAGAGTTTGAAATAACGTTTAAAAAAAAAGATTGTCTGCTCCTGGGAACAATCTGCCATGCATACTGTACGTAGATCGCATGTTACGCACTTGTGGGCTTAGCAAAGTGCTCCAGGATTCAAATTATAACAATGGTTGATTTCTAAAGGTATCTTTTTTCTAATATATGCACTCATCAATATTTCACGCACCATGGTTCAGCATATGTGCAATTGAAATGCATTCAAATTTTAACAATATGCTTGATTTCTAAAGGTCTCCTTTTTTTTTATACACCCTGTATTTCTCTTCTCACGAATGACCCCCGGAGACCTGGCGCAGTGTGGTCGTTAAGTATTTTATACATTAATACTGACTTGGCACCAGACCGCCTATTTTCAAGTGTATCCCAAGAAAGCATGTTGAGAAGATCAGCTGAGCGAGTATCATAATTAGCACCTGTTAGGACTCTTGCTGCACGAGACTGAAATCTTTGCAACTTGTCTCTTAGCAACTTACCACAAGTGTCCCAAAGGGGGGAACAATAATCAAAGTAGGGCTGCACAAGACTTTTATAAATCGATTCTAAGGTATGCATTGGAACAAAGGGCTTTATACGTTTCATAGCGCCAATAGCAGCGCTCGCCTTCTTGCATATCATTGTATTATTGTATTGTATTAAAACTTTATTTAAAGACACTAGCCCCGTCAACGGTGCGTTGGTTTCCACGGGGGGCGTCTACAATGTTAAAAATTACAAAAGATATAAGGGAAAAGGAGACTATTTACAAATTGGTGTGACCCCAGATGTTATGGTTAGACGGAGTTACAATTTATTTCAAATATATATAGTATTAGAGTTAAGTTTTAAATGGCTTTTGAACAGGTGCATTGATTCTGCCAGTTTCGTATCGATAGAGAGACTATTCCATAGCTTAGCCCCACTGTATTTAAAACTCTTTTTTAGGAATTCTCTTTTAGGCTTAGGAAGAGCCAAATCTGTATGACTATTTCTAAGATCATAATTTGTTTGCATATGATTGCGTCTTATCAAGGATTCTTTCAACGTAGGTCCTACGTAATCCTTCAAGACTTTAAACATTAATATTGCTTTGGTTGTACGTCGTCTTGTCTCTAAATTGTCCCAAGCAAGAGATTGAAGAACATCAGCAGATCTAATCTCATAACTTGCACCGACAATGATTCGGGCTGCGCGATTTTGAAATTTTTGGAGTTTATTTTTCAAATTTTGATCACAGACGCCCCAAATGGGAGAACAATAATCAAAATACGGCTGAATCAGAGCTCGATAAATTGTTTGAAGGGTGGTTATTGGAACAAAGGGTTTAATACGTCTCAAAGTACCCAGGCCTGCTCCAACCTTTTTGCAAATCGCCTGAATATGTGAATTCCAGTTAAGATTTTCATCTAAATCGAGACCAAGACATGTGAAAGAGTGAACTCTGGGGATGCGTTGGTTATTTAACATCACTGGATGATCAAAAGTTGTGGAATTAATATGATGTTTAGAGCCAATGAACATTATTTTGGTCTTAGTTGGGTGGTGTTGTAATTTATTTCTAGAGAGCCAATCACCGATTCTACTCAGATCGTGATTAAGGTTTTCGGTTAATTCAATCAAACTGTTAGAGCTGCAGCAAATTTGGGTATCGTCAGCATATAAATAAGGAGTAGTTTTTTGAAGGCATTCGGGGAGGTCATTGATATAGAGTAAAAATAACAGTGGACCTAAAATAGATCCCTGCGGAACCCCAGAAACAATCCGTTTTGACGATGACATTGAATTATTAACAATACAGACTTGCTCCCTATTATTTAAGTAAGACTCAAACCATCTTAACTCAATATCCGATATACCGAATTGATCTTTTAATTTATGAAGCAGAATATTATGATCAATTGAGTCGAAGGCTTTACGAATGTCAAGAAAAACAATGCCGCTCAATTGACCATTATCCATATTTTCATAAAGAGTATCGCACACCTGAGTTAGAGCGGTGAGAGTTGAATGTTTAGGCCGAAAACCATGTTGATGTTTTGAAAGAAGTGAATTGTCATTAAGAAATTTATAAATTTGATTAAAAACGCATCTCTCAAGTATTTTACTAACAATGGGTAGTATCGAGATAGGGCGATAATTCTCGCATTTCAACCTGTCATCAGATTTATAAATGGGTGTAACCCAGGCTTTTTTCCATTCATCCACATATTCTCCTTTTTTGATCGAAAGGTTAAATATCCAAGTTAATGGCGGACCAACAATGTCCGCGGATATTTTAAGAGCTTTAGCAGGGATGTTATCTAATCCTGTGGATTTTGAAATTTTGAGACTACGCAATTGATATATTACTTCGTCCTCGTTAATTTCAGAAAATTTGAAAAAAAGATTGGAGTCGGTAGTAGGCCTAGAATCTCCGCGAGCAAAAGAATTTGTGTTGAGGGAATTATCTTCAATTTCAGCTGCAAGTTTTGCCCCGATATTGACAAAGAAATCATTAAAAGCCTCAGATTTCAATTTATCGTCTGAAATGACAGAATTATCCGTTTTAAGTTGGGATATCGTGTTTGATTTCACATTTTTACCCATGAGGTGGTTAATTAAATTCCAACTTTGCTTTATGTCTTTGGACTGAGCACAATCTTCTATTTTATTGCAGAAATAGTTTCTTTTAGCTTTAATTAGTTCAGCATTAACTTTGTTTCGTAATTCCTTATATTTTGTCCAATGACTTTGAGAATTATATCTAACCGCTTTTATTTTGTGGAAGTCTCTTGATCTCATTATACCCTTGATGTCTGAAGAAATCCAAGGGAGAGAATTTCCACGAGTTCTCATATGTCTAAGGGGAGCGTGTCGATCAAGGACCTGGAGGTATAGTGATTGCCATACCTGCCAGCATACATTAGAATTGTCATGTTGGGCAATGTTCTCCCACGGCATCTGTGAAAGATCCGTAAGAAAATCATTGGCATTGAAATTTTTAAAGTTACGAATATGTTTAACCTTTTCCCGTGATTTGGGAATACAATGTTTTCTAATAGCGAAAATCATACTGTGATCAGAAAGTCCAAGGTGTATGACACCAGACTTTGAAATATTTTCCTCTTTATTTGTCAGAATTAGATCAATTAGAGTTGCTGATGTTCCAGTAATCCTTGTGGGTTCATCAATAAGCTGATCGAACTGATAAAGTGATGAAAGGAACCGTAGCTTGCGAGTATGAGACTCACAAGGAGATTTCAAGATATCACAGTTCAAATCACCCATAGAAAGAAATGACTGTGCAGTATATCGCGTTGGTGGTTCAGTGGTAGAATTCTCGCCTGCCACGCGGGAGAC